CTTCTGCTCAACTTTATCCGTGCGGATGTCAGTGACAGGAGTCGGCGCTGAAAAAGCAGAGAGGAAAGCAGCAGGTGACCGCGGTGCTGCCCGGAAGAGCATCTCCCTGCTCCAGCAGTGCGCCCGTGCCCTCCCTGCGGCCAGCGGCACCCAAATCCCCCCACACCAGCCCAGCACAGCCAGACAGAGCCCCGGGGACACGGCCAGTGACACTGCGTGCCACCACGCTTTGGCTGCCTTGGTTCTGGGCAGCGAAGTAAGCGCAACCAGGAGATCACACGTTATGGGGCATTTTATCTCTGTCCTCACATTCGTCTTGGCTGTGAGTCCCACATCAGCACGAACGTGTTCAGTGGTTACTCCATTTCTGCTTCTGCCCTGTGACGGCCCAGTAAAAACTTCAACAATTCAAACAGTTGAAGAGCATGCTGCTCCTGCAGATACCAGACCCCCCTCTCTGAATCAGGACTCAAACAGGGCAAACTTCAAGCTGGTGATCATCCAACGGGAGAAGGTGGTGGTGAAAATACAACAGCTTTGTAAGCTGTGGGCAGCTAGTAATGCTCTGTCCAAAAACAAGCAAAAACCCCTAATTGCACCCTCCACCCACAGTGCCACGGAGGGTCTGAGCGCCGGCTGACGTCCAGCGCTCTGAACCTGCTGCCAAGGATTTCTGGGAAATGCAAAATACAACCTTTGAGCAGCAGGGCTCACACCGGGGCTTCTCCAGCCGCCCTGGCACAGGCTCTGCCCCACGCCGCCGGGAGGAGGAGAGCGCTGCCTGCCCTGCCTGCTGCCAAGCACGCCGGCTGTGCCGCAGGAGCCGGCTCTTCGTTTCTAGTTAGCACAGCTCCATGCTGAATCTTCCTCCCTGGCACGCGCACTCCCGTTTAGTTCATCTCACCACGCAAGATGCGCTCGCCAACTATTCCCATTTTAACCAGGTTTGGCTCCAAGCGAGCCGACTCCTCCAGCACGCGGCAGGCTGCCCGCTGTCCCCAGCTATCCACAGGCTCTCTGCCCGACGCGGACGCCTTTGCCCTTTGC